TTTATATAAGGCAAAAAACAAACAAAAATCAATCACATTTTAAACACTGTCCTAGGGAAATGTCCTATATTTGAATGTTGAATTCTTGCAGGCATCCTTTGCTTCATTCAATTTCTTTACAATTCTGTATTACAATTACTATGATTGTTTTCTAGGTGGGAAAACCAAGCTCAGCAGAGCAATTTCTAGCCCACTAAATTGACAGATTAACATGCTGTCTCCTTCTCAATATTCATTTCTGTGCATTACAGGTACCTCTGTTTGTTTGGTGAAAAATATATATCCTCTCTTTTCTTAATGTTTATACAGAAGGACATGATAATTACTAAATAACATGATGTACAAGAAGATATAAAATAATATATGATTATTCTAATAGTGATAACACTATTAATGTTTTGATGCCTTTCCTTTGAACTCTTCTGATTATAAATATAAAAAGACAGAAATTAGTATGATACAGTATTCTATATAACTGTGCATAAGAATTTTTAAAAATCAGATTTCATGATGAGAATTTTCCCAAATTACAAGACTTTCAAAAGTAACTTGTGAAATCATGAATGTTAGCTAATCAATTTAAACAGATCCTTAGTGTTTCACTATTTTTAACATGTTTTCAATGCTGAATATTAAATGTTTTTGTATATGAAATATTACTACACCTGATTTCAGATTTTTCAGGGATGTCGGCTTGTAAATTTCTTTCCTTGAGTCATTATTGGTCCAATTAGATTTTCCATTTCCTTATTCAGTTTTGGAAGGCTATTTCAAGGAATTTATCCATTTCACCTAGGTCATCCAATTTGTTGCATAAATGTTCACAGTTACCACTTTCAATTGTTTGTATGTCTGTGATACCAGTTGTAATACCTCATTGCATTTGTGATTTTGTCTTGGGTAATCTAGATAAAAGTTTGTCAATTTTATCTTTTTATAAAACCTACTGAATATTTTTATCATTTTTTCTAATCTTCTTTCAGCTCTGATCTTTATTTCTTCCCTCCTAGTAACATGCAAAGTTTAGTTTGTTATTCTTCTAGTTCCTTGAGGCATAACAGGTTGTTTATTTTAAATCTTTCCTTTGAATGTAGATTTTGTTATAAATTTTCCTTTTAGAACTGCTTAGGCTGCTATCAACAAGTCCTGCTTATCTTGTGTTTCCATTTTCATGTCTCAAGAGTGAATATTATGCATATATCATATAGAATATATAATATCAAATTTATATTATATAATATTCTATATAAATATAGAATATAATTCTATACATTATATAATATAGAATTTATGTTATATATAATTATTCTATATGTATAGAATATATAAATTGTATATATAGAATTGTATATATAGAATGTATATATAAAAATTATATAGAGAGAATTTATATGTATTCTCTCTATATATTTTATATATATATATATATATATATATATATATTATATAATTTTCCCAGGATGAAGAATTGAACCTAGGGGTTTCTGCATGCCTGACAAGCACTCAACTGCTAAGCTATATCTCCATCCATTTAATAGATATTTCAGCTTCCCTTTTAATTTTACTTTTGACTTGCTGTTTCATTCCCACAAATTCCTAATCTTCCTGAAGTTGTTATTGTTGATTTCTAGTTCCCATTAGTGTGTTTGGCAAAGATACCATGATTTCAGTCTTCTTAAACTTGTGTAGTCTTCTTTTATGGCTTCTCTAAAAAGAGATCTATCCTGAAGAATGTTTTGTGTAGCTTGAGAAACACGTACGTTCTTCTGCTTTGGATGGAATGTTCTGAATGTATCTGTTAGGGCCATTTGTTCTAAAGTGCATTCAGTTTCAAATTTTCCTGATTTTCTGTCCACATGATCTCTTATTGAAAGCAGAATTGAAATTCCTATTACCATACTATAGTCTACCTATCCTTTCTTTTAGTATTTACTTTATTAAAGCACTTCCGATCTCTTCTTGATGAACTGATGTCCTGAGTTACACACTGAACTTAGCTTCTTTTTACAGATACTTTGTTGTTGCTGTTGTTTTTTATTTAAAAACTCTTTTGTCTGACATAAGCACAGCTATTCTGGTTCCCTGATTTCTATTTGTATGGGATACATTTTCCACTCCATCTTCAAATCTTAAAGTGGAAGTGAATCTTTCGTAAGCAGTATACAGTTAGGCCTTTTAAAATCAATTCAACAATTTATTACAGAATTTAATCAAATTACATTCAGTGTGATTATTGATAGGTAAAGGCACTACTGTAATTTTGCAAAGTTTTCCAGTTGTTCTATAGATATGTTGTTTTTAGTCCTTTCTTACCATTTTCATGTTTAGATGACTTTCTCTAGTAGTATGCACTGCTTTCTTTCTTTTTTTTTTTTCTGTCTACCCTGTTTTCACATTTACAATGAAGTGAAACATGGGTATGCACACTTATAAGAGTCAGTCTAGAATGTGGGCACTGTCAGCGCGGCCACAACCTGGAAGTCAGGGCCATGAGCAGTTTAGGAAGAAGTGGCAGCTCTAGTACTGGTACTGCAGATTCTTGGGGAAGAAGAGAGCTGTGCAACTGCATTTGCCTCTCTGCTGTTGGTTTTCTCAGTGGAAAAGATGTCTGTGTTCTCTATGGAGCTGGCCTTTCAGGACCATTGTGGTTGCCCCTACATAGCTAATAATAATATCCTCTGCATTTGTTCTTTAATCCTAATGATCTCCTGGCATATCTAGTATGCCAATTTCACCAACAATCTTTTCTGTGTGGACAGTCTCCATTTTTTGTTCCATCTGTGTTATGTCAGATTACTAAATGACCGATGAGCCAGCCAGGGATATTTTGGTTTATGGATAGCTATCTGCATTTGTTTTTTTGTGGCATGACTAAGGTTATATCCTACTCAGTCATCTTGGTGACATCATTCTCAGAGATTGCTTAAAATACTGGTGGACAGACTCTCATATTCTGTTACGTTCTGATCCTGATCTTTGTGTGATCCCATTCTCATGTGTATGGAGAATCATCACAGATTTCTAACTAATAAATGACAACAGTAACAAAATTTATATGGTTTTGTACAAGTCATTTTGTGGTTACATTAAGATTTTAATGGCCATGTTTAGAGATCCTCCCTCTTACTGATTATGAACAAGCAAGTGGTCATATTGGATAACAACACATAGTAAAGAACTGCTAATCCCCTATAGGAGCTGATTACAGCCACTAGCAAACAGCAGGGGAAAACCTGGAGCTTTCAGTACTAGTTGCAAGGATTTGAATGCCATAAATAATCAGTGAGTGTAGCAGTAGATCTTTCCCAAGCTCAGCTTCCCAGTCCTGCCCTGTCTGACACCTGGATTGCAGCCTTGATATATCCTAAATTGAGGATTCTGATAACCTGTGCCTGTTCCTAACCCACTGAAGCTGGGAGATCACAAGTCTATGCTCTTTTAAGCTGTGAACTTTGTGGTGATATGTTACACAGCAACAGAGAATTAATATCATTGATCCTCTGGACTTAAATTTATAATTTTCCTATTTGCTTTCCACTTGTTTCATCAATTTGATCAAAAAGTACTTTTCATTTTTTTCATTGTCAGCATATAACACAGTGTTGTACAATCAAATGTGTTGTTAACTAAGTAAATGTTACAGATTCCTTTAAGACCCTGGAACAAAGTCAAGAGTTTCACAATATCAATAAACACCATACTGCATTTATGTCATATCTATATATACACACTTATATGTACACAAATGCTATTATAAACTTTGAAAATCAAAAACCATTTAACTTTAACTTATTTTATTTGTGAAATAAAAACATTTCTTTTTTAACATAGTAAGAATATGAGACGTTGATAGTAAAAATATATGTTTATGTAGAGTTATAAGTTACTCTGGAATACGCTTCACACTGATTCTAAGTAATCAACGTGTCATGATAAAATGTTTACACATAGCTTCCTAACAACTAACATGTTAAAAAAGAGTTGCCACACTAGTTTCTTCGACCTGTAGGGAAAAAAGTAGACACGCTCTCACATTATAGCTGTTTTGTAAGTAAAGGGCTTTCTTCCAACACCAAGTATTGAGAACAACAAAAATGAAGTACCTAAAATCAAACAGGCGTGTGTGTGTGGGGGGGGGGGGGAATGGTTGAGAGGAAAATGATTAAAGTATGTGTATGTACAAATCTGCCAAAATTAAACCCATCAATTTGTACAAATAATTTTTTAAAAGTTAAAATGAACAAAGTGGTAGTCAAAAAGAGACACCACGCTCCTGACATTTAGAACACTCATTATTCAAGACTTTATAATAATCAAATGTAAACTGATAATAATGATCTGTCTACAAATTTTATCTTTTAAACAAACCCCTAAACACCTGTAAACTGTATTATGTAAAATTATTTTTAAAATCACCAAAACTCAAAGACTATGAAATACCCCAGAAATACAAATAATTTTGAATTGTGACTATGTCATATTTTCATTATCATTTCATTATTTAATTTTCTTGAGATATTCTTTTGAAAAAAGCAAACAGCAGTGATACTATGTGCTATTTGCAGAAAATTAAAATGCTTTAAAAATGAATTCAATTATCATTGAATATATCATTTTATTCTAAAAAGCACAAAGGAAGTCAAGCAATAAACAAATAACTTGAAGCAGGCCCAATTTCTTCTAAACCAAGGATTTGTTAGGCTTCCCAGCTATCCTTTGAGAAACTCTTCTCTAGATTTACTTATTCTGAACACTGAGAAGGAGGTAGAGAATAGGAATGTATGCAGGTTACTCCACAGTCACTAACACGAAGCCTGCAAGAGGTGAGGGAAACGAATGACACAACACAATGGCACCCAGGTTAAAAACCCAGAACAGCCTGCTGTTCTTACTTTTTTCCCTGACCTCAGGCTCCACTGTTTAGTGAGATGCAATGGAAAGTAAAAAAGAATATCTGAAGAGGGAATTAAAAATGAGAGGCACATGTCAACATTTTTTACTTTTGGTGAAGTCGTATGGTTTCCACCACTGAGCAAACTGCAGTGCTTTCTTCCTCTGATCCTCAAAGTTTTCTTGGATGCCCTTCCGCCAAAGTCTTGGCTCTAGATCCAACATCCCACCAATGATTTCCTTTTGAAGAATGAGAAAAATACAAACACATGGGTACAAATAGGAAAGAAATGAGAAAACTTTCTTTTGCTATGAAATATAGCATTAAGTAGCTTACCATGACAATGTTCAAATATTACATAAATACTAGTTTCTGGTTTTAAAAAAAAATTGTGTTTTCAACAAATTCTAACTATATAATCCCTGTAATTCTTCAGAATCCTACCTGTATCTCCTGTTAAGCAAACTGCTCATTTTGTTGCTTACAACATCTACCAGGTGGTTGCCAAAGGTTAAAAAGGTAAAATTTAATTACTTTGGTCCATATTAGTTGCTCTGGTAAACCATCTGGATAGAAGTTAATCAACTTTAACAATTAACTTTGCTGTGCAACTGCAGCTGAATCTCAGGGTAATGGTCTCTCTGCTGCCTACTATAAACCAGTTTCTTCCAATATTGGCTAGTGTTCTTTTCTCAGGAAGCAAACCCATATTTTAAATATTAATCAAAGTAAATCTAGAATTTAAAACTAAATCACTTTCACTTAAGAAGGTCATATTTTCAAGCTCTAAAAGGAATGGCTTTTTAATTCTTTACTGCTTATTCTAAGATATTTGTTTCATGATCCTCCTGCAGTGCTACTGGTAATATAAATTAATCAGAGTTGTGCATGGGAGTATCCATGTGCAGAAAGATAAGGGGGAGATCTGAATTCTTACAGGAAAGGCAGCTGGTAACTATGGCAAGTATGGTAAACAACACCAGACTAAGGGTCATATTCTACACACTCAGTCTGGTTCTGTTGGACTGTGCAGTATGATCTTAAGACAAATAATAATAATCTCTCTCTAAAATACTGGTTGCTCATCTGAATAACATACCACAAGGATGTACTATCTACATGCAAATGTCATACAGCAGGGAATACAAAGATCACTATATATATAATATATAGCTATATAATATATATAATATAGCTATATACTATATAATATAGCTATATACTATATACTATATACTATATACTATATACTATATAATATATAATATATAATATATAATATATAATATATAGCTACCTTGTCTTCAGAAAGCTTATAAAAGAATATAAAGCTGAGGTGGGAAAAATTCTATTTGCTAGATAAATCAGGAAAATATTCAGGGAAAAAGGAAACTCCCTATCATTAGGAAAGGGAATAAAGGACTAAAAGAGATAGTAGTTTATATAGAAAAAGATCAGGAGAAATGATGCAAATTTACATTTAGTGCAAGAGATTCTTAATTCAACTAAGAAAAGCAACAGAAGAAAGCCTAGCTTTTAAGTTTACCTGAAATTTATCTCTGTAACACATCAGGCTTTGTTATATCTAACATATAGGTGGGTTCTGGCTCTCTTACTAATGTACCTGCTAATAAAAAAAGACCATCTCAGTAATCTCCTGCTCTCTGAATTACCACTTTGCTAAGAGATGGAAGAGACTTATTGGACTCACAAATTAGGTCTTGGGAAGTAAACTGAAAAGAAAATGCTTCAGTGATACAATGATAACTGCAGAAACATTTTTTAAAAATTAAAACAGTTTCATATAATCCCTAATATATGTGAAATATTTGAAGAGGAGTGAATTTCCAATTTCAAAAAATAGATAATTTACTGCCTCTTTACTAGACTCAATATATTGAGATTTATAGAGCCTTTAGTTTTTGTTTTTCTGGTTTTTTTTGTTTTGTTTTGTTTGGTTTGGTTTGGTTTTTTTGTCTTTTTCCTTTTTATCAGTACCGGGGATCGAACTCAGGACTGCCTGCTTGCAAGGCAGGCACTTATGCCGCTGAGCTAAATCCCCAGCCCTGAGCCTTTAGTTTTTAAGGCTCTATGGAATAAAAATAGGACTTTTCAGAGTGAGGAAAGCAAAATAAGTTTCTCTCTGCTTTGAAAATAAATTCTGAAACTTTCTAAAACAAGTTCCTATAATGTAATAAAACAATTTGAAGATGAATGTGGTTTTGGAATCTGGTCAACCATTCAGGACAACATAATAAATTCTGTGTCAAAATCTCTGCAGTTTGTGGCATCCCTATTCATTGTAGAAGATGGTCTTATGCAAGAGAAGGCAGTGTGGAGGAAAACACAGGGGCAAAGGAACACTGAGCAGAGTTCATGAAGGCCCCTCAGAGAGGTGATGTGATTAAAAAAGGCCTGATGCAAAGATTCAAAGATTAGATAAAGTGTCACTTCTACAGTTATTATTGCTCAGCCTTCCTCTGGCTGTTTCACCTGTTACATTAACCTCACTCCATTCCTGACATTAATTTATAGCTCAGCAACTATACCTCTAATCACTGTACCCTAAGGGAGCAATCTCTGAGAGAAAATGCTGGCAATCAAAACATCTGGTCTCTCCTACCTGCTCAGACACTATTTGTGTGGAATGATTTATATATTCTTGGACTGCATCTCGCCTAATTATAAATGAAGAGGTAAGATAATTCTGTTCTGTAGTTTGATCATGACCATCAGTATCCCTGTTCTGTCCAGTTCTGTCACTTAGCACGTGACACTGGGAGAGTTACTCAATTTCTGTCTCTTTATCTTTAAATGAAAGCTGTAATAATATCAATGCTATAAAGTTGTTGTGTGAGCACTAAATGTGTGCTCAGAACAGCAGCTGACACATAGCAAATGTTAATAAATGTCAGCAATTTTCACCATTCTCAGGATAACATTGGCTGACTCTAAATGTTATAGTCACTGTTGGCACTTAAGAAATATTTCTTCCTCCTCAAAATTTTCTAACTCTATTACAAATATTTTTGGGGATATTTGTTAATGTTTTCTAGATGTTGTCTCTAACAATTGAGGGGAATAGTACTCACTTATCTCACTGGTCAGTTTTGATTTTCATTCAAAAGAAATGTGAATACCAGCGAAGCATGCCAGTGCACACTTAAAATCCCAGCACTCCTAAGACTAAGGCAGGAACACTGCCATGAGTTTGTGGCCAACTGTCATTTCAGGCCAGCTTGAACTACACAGCAAGGCCTTATCTTAAAAACAAACAAACAAGAAACGTGATTACCAAAATGCTAACTAAGTCTTAAGATTTTATCAAATTTGTGATACCTTTCCAAAGTAATGAGGGAATTTGTGCTGATCTTCAATGACATGGGCAAATCCTCCTTGGAGACCAAAGTCCACCGAGAAGTAAGGTAAGCCTCTGGGAACCTAAACAGACAGACAAATTAACAGACATGTAAAATACAGCATGAAACCATGCTTAACCCCTCTTCCTGCTTTCTGACATGATATTAATTAAGCATCCCCCAAGACAAATGTAGACAAGGCATATCCAAATCTAGAGATACTTAAGCAATGACACAACTTTCTAAATAAAAGATTTCATTTTGATAGCTTCTTAGTGAGAGAGCTCTAAATCATATGTGGCAATTATAATAAAAACCAATTATGTTTATGTCCTTGGGAAAAACAAAACAAAAAAATACAAATATTTTCATATAATCACAGAATAATTTTCAAGATTACACAAATAAAAAATAAGGACATATTTTACTCATAATGAATAAGAGGAGGGAACTGGCCACATACACTAAACTTCACTTACAATATTCCTAATATTTTTATTATGATATAATTATCAAAGATAGCCAAGAAGAATCATAACTTTTTATTAACTTTTATTAACTTTTTATTAAGTGGTATGATAACACTTAGTTTTTATCAACCTAATTTTAAATGTCTGTAGGATGAATTCTCTATTACCCTGTATTGTTTTCTCCCCTCCTTCTTTACACACACACAGACACCAAGTATTTTAAAATACATCTTCAGTGGAAAACTGGAAAAGGCCTTAATTTCTTGTTTTCTCTATCAATAAAGTAATCTTGTGCCCCTCCAAATTTTTCCTTACAGCCCAAGTACTGTCATTGGAAATTATCCCAACTGGGTAACTTTATACTAACATTTTCCCCCTCTAAAGTCCTCACACACAATTGACATTTATTTATTTGGGCATCCAAATCACATATTCCTACTTAACAGTGTGCATTTTGTGTTGCATCCTCAGGCAGGCACACTTTAGAAGGGTATGGCATGGTGTGACAGAAACAGTAGTCACTTTGAAACATTATAAAGCAAATATGAATAAGATTAATAGAGTTGTTTATAGGTAGGAAGAGCATAAATAAAAAATCTGCTTATATAAAACAGAAACAGGTTGCTACTTGGAGGCTTTATATTTTTCTACGTCTCCACCTCTTCAATATAATATTCATGCACAACATTGAAAATTTTTTTAAAAAATCAAGAGACAGATGATGTTCTAAATGTATCTGTGACTCCCAAGTGCATGACCTCAAAAACTTATTTAACATCTGAGTCTCATGAGAAATATGAAATGTCAGTGGTTTGCTGTGATGATCAAATGGGACTAGCCCAATTCTTAGCACACAGAAGATTATTAATTTCATTTCTATCTCTCACACAAGCTTGTTCAATGAAAAAAACCATTTTTTTTTTGTTTTTGTTTTGTTTTTTGTTTTTTTCCTTTTTATCGGTATCGAACTCACAACTGCCTGCTTGCAAGGCAGGCGCTTATGCCGCTGAGCTAAATCCCCAGCGAAAAAAACCATTTTTAAAAGTCTCTAATAGAATATTTTTGACGGGGCTGGGGATTTAGCTCATCGGCATAAGCGCCTGCCTTGCAGGCAGGCAGTCGTGAGTTCAATCCCCGGTACCGAGAAAAAGACAAAAAAAAAAAAAAAAAAAAAAAAAAAGAATATTTTTGACATCTCAGCTAGATCACCAGGTGTAAAGCATGAATCTGAATAGCTAAAGAGATGTTATAGAATTATAGCTACTGAAGTATGATTCCTTTTTCTGTTAAATTATGATGCTTTGAAAGGCAGAAATAATTTGGGAAAGAAATATGTAATGATAAAAAAACGTATAATAGTACCATTACTTTTTGTTTATATCATGCTGTGGTAGGCAGAATAATGGGTTCCTAAATATGACAATGCCCAAGTCCTGTATGTGATATGAGTATGTCATCTGACATGGCAAGAGGGACTTCACATGTACACATAAGCTAAGGACCCTGAAATGAGAAGAATTTTGTGCCATACACATAAGCTCAATTAACTACAAGAATTCACATAAAAGACACGAGGCTCAGAATAAGAAAATGACTGGGAGATACTACACTCTCCACTCTAAAATGAAGGCTAGGGACCACAAGCCATGGAATATGGATAGCTTCTAGCAACAAGAAGAGACAAGAGAGTCAAATCTTTCTGGAGAAGGAGAAAGCCCCTGGCCCCATAAGGAATACAGGCCTGCTGACAAACTGATTTTAATCCAATGAAACCCATCTCCTAAAATATTTATTATAAATGTAAGATAATAACTACTTTAAGCCATTATATTGAGCAATAAGAAACTAACATACATAACAAGCAGCAATAAGAAACTAACCAGCAATGACACTAACATATATATCAAGACTCAACAACCTTTGGCATATTTGCAAAGATGGTACATTGAATACCTATTTTCTTATGAAGAAAGCTACTTCCACGAGCTCAGAGAACACCAAAGATAGAGCCTTTACTAGCAGGTAGAGCCTGCTAGAAAAGTTGTCAGTATGCACACCAAGGCTCAGGAATCACAGAGCATGTGGTGGTGAGAGCTTTCTTTTTGCTGAACTGGCCACCATAGGGAAAGGTAGAACTGTGGTACTATTCTAACGGCAGTGACAAAATTACAACAAAGACATTTATTTGTGCTAGAAAAACAGTAATACTCTAATCTTTTCCCTTCATTATAGCTGTAACTTGTGACTTCCTGTAAGTATTCTTAAATTTCAAGGGTTCTGGCAAACCCAAATTTTCCTTGAGAAGTACTATCCTCAATTAAAAAATCAATCTCTAAATGTTGGATTTAAAAAATTACTACAGTTTCAGAACAATTAATTTTAATATGTTTAAAAGTTAAGAAAAATTCTCATGAAATCTCAATAAAAAATCCTTGTGAAAATGATTGTTTTTGACAAGTTATTATTGTGTGATTCCTCTGCATGTGAACATTCATATCTGTTTCCTTCTTCTATTTCCAAATAAATCAAAAGACCCAAAAAGAATAAACAAAAAGTAAAGTAGATGAAAAAGGAATGTGATTCCACACAACTCCTGCCTTGGATACTTTTGTTGAGACAAAACACCCACCCCAAAATGAAGGACAGGGCTGGCTCCAAGGCAGAATGACGAGGCCCAGGGCCAACACTTCAAGGCAGCAGCCAGAGAAAATGGGGGAATAAGCCTACTCACCTCCCTTATATTGTACACAGGCCACCCCACCATCCCTTCAAGCCAGGGCAAACCTAGCACTCACAAAATCTCCCTGCCCCTCTCTTGCACAGGAGGAAGATATTTACAAAGTAGGGATACTGGATCCCCCTGAGTCTCTGTTAAACTTCTAAACTTCTCAAGATGATACAATGTATCAACCGTAAAAACTCCAATTCCACACAAGGAACATAAACACTGCACACAACTCAAGTCCATATAAGGAAAATAACATTATACACTAATATGTACTATTAAAAATAAAAATAAAGGGGCTGGGGATTTAGCTCAGGGGTATAAGCGCCTTCCTGGCAAGTGCAAGGTAGTGAGTTTGATTCCCGGTACCACAAAAATAAATAAATTAAATAAAATAAAAATTAAAAACTATCTAGTTGGCCACTTTTTCATATTTATTGCTTTCCTCTGTATGTTTATTTTATTGATTTTTAGTCATATTTTCACAAATTTGATTGTTCTCATTTCATAGCACTATCTTATGCTTTTAAGTGTAGATTTTGATTGACATACTGGAAGTTGTTTTTAAAGAGAAACAGGTTAACTTAACAAGATCTCCTAGTTAATTAATTGAGATACTTACTTTGATTTTAAAAAATAAGATACTAAATGATTCGCCAGTAAAAAGCTGTGCATACCTTACAGAAGATGGGGTATTCAAAAATTTCTACTCTGAAATATTTTCAGCTGCCATTAAATCATTTTCTGAAAGAATATTTAATGGTATGGTATGTTTTTGCCTTTTTTTTTGTTTATTTTGTGTTTTGATATGCTATCTGGTCTAAATTACCTGAAAAAGAAGAGTAAAACATTGACGATAATGTTATGCACCCACATGACAATTATGTACTTTCAGTAATGCAATGAAATGTAAGGATTCTGACTAGGATATAATAAGGAATCTTTTCAGACATGAGTCATTTATCAGGAATCTGACTTTCCAGAAGAAACAGGGGAGAAAGAGTCTAGTGACATTTACTGGAAAATGAACTGGCAAATGCTTCCTGTTAAACAGCCACACTACGTTTTCGGCTTTATGAATCAAGCAGTCATTATTGTGAGTACATATAGCATATCAGCATGAAAGCAGCCATAGGCAGTACATAAACAAAAGGGAATGGCTATGTTCTAATCAGACGTCATCTAGCAAACACGCAGAGGACTGGGTTCAACATTCCAGCGCAAGGTGCCACTTTCTGTGCTAGAATACAGGCTCCAAAAAGGGCAAGGATCAGCTCCATTTTGTTCTACTATGCACAAATGGTACCCAGAACAGCGCCCACATTCAGCATGAACTTAATAAATATTTGCAAATAAATTATTTTTTGAAGAAAAAAGGAATCCATACTTCTATTTAAATCTATTTTATTATTTATTCCTAGAAATAAGAAAGGTCATTATAGAAGTACTAATCATAAGTGCAACTTGTATCTAAATGTTGACTGGCAAAACAAGATTAAATTATAAAACATAGTAAAATAAATCCTATGTTTACAAATTCCTAGTTTCTGGGGACAAAATTGAAAATTTTTATATTATAAAAGAAGAAAATGATTCCAAATTGACGACCCTGTATCTCAGGCCTACAAATCTAAAAAGGCCTGATGGCAGGTTCAGATGGCTGTCATGTAAATTAGTGAGGAAGTGGGAGCAAGGCAGATGGCCACGTCAAATAAAATCTCTTCACAAACAAGCATTTGATACATCAGATAGATGAAAATAATTTTTCTGTGGAATTATTTTACCTTTAGTCACTCAGTCAAATGGTCTATTTTTTAACTAAGATTTAGAAGTTAACAAAGATCCTCAACACCACAGTAATTTATGTTAGAAAAAACTAGGTACTTACAGACTTTCTGATATCTTTTGAAGAAAGATCAATCAGTTTTTTGTTCATGGACCACTCTTCATCAGATTCCATTATGGCTTTCTAAGAAATAACCATTTGTTAAATGCAGTAATATAGCAGCAAATATGAACAAATTGCTTAAAATAATACAAATAATTTATCACATGTTATGGTATACATAGTACTGTTTAATACAGATAATACACAAAATAGTATACATAACTCTCAATAGAGTAAGGCTTTTTGTTATTTAAAATTAGAATGTCTTGATTGTGTTTAAATCCTGACAGCCAAAGACCAGTATTCTTTTACTATTAACTCTTACACACTAACTTTAGTTCAACTTTACATGAAAAAAAAAAAAAAAAATCACAGATAAGACCAAGTACTTTATTACTGAAAAAACTTGTAAAAGTTCATGAATTTTACTTTTTTCTCTTGTGCCAACCAAAAACTTGAACTATATCTAGCCATATAAAAAAGTAAAACTGCAGACAGCTAAGGTCTATTTGTCTCTTTAAAAAGAAGTAAGGAAATACACAAACAGGGAATTTTAAGATTTTTCCAGATTCAACAATATGACTACTTTTTATTGTAAAGAAATGCTTCCTAAAAGTAAAAGCCAGGTGATAATATAAAATAGTTAGTCTTTATCCTATCACTAATAAAGCAAATTTTAAAGATGAAATTAATATTCAAACTAGTATATTTTAAGTACATCAGATACATTGCTGCTTCCTATTTTAAAATCATGTGCTCCTTGACTTCACATCGTAAGACAGCACATTCAATATAAAATTGAAGTCAAGTAAAATAGATGAATGCCTTGTTAAGGATTAAACAAAAAGTTTAGGGTGCAAAAGAAATATGTGCACCATTCTGCCAAGAGATGACATATTCAGATGCCACATGAGCAACAGTGGCTGCTCTATGTTGATCCCTCTCTATATTTCAAATGCTTTTAGTCACACTCACTCATGACTCTACTGAGGAAAGAAAAAAAAAAAAAAAAAGAAACCACATTGGAAAAAATACAATAATCTCTTTCTTAACTAAATTTGGCTATTATGAAAATAGCCTTTAGGAGTACAAAACTTATTTCCTTATACTTTAATAACATAATTCATTAAATCAATAATTATACTATTTTTAAAAATGTCTAAAGAGAAAATTTTTGCCATCTCTTTAACAAATTTCATAACCTTATAGCTCAAATTCATAAATTTTACCATTTTATGTACAATGTTCTTAAGCCAACTCACAGAATAGCATCTCCTCTTTTCTTTGTATATGTTCATATTTCACTTATGGTTCTATATTGATGCATTTGCATTAGTCTATAAATCACATTCAAGTAGCAACAAATACTAGTAAAAGTTGACTGAATATTATAATGACACTTACTAGGTTGTAAATGCTAGTCATTTATTCATGCCTAAAATGTACACTAAAATAGACATTTTTTTCTAGTATCACAGATATTAAATATTAAAATTTCATCAATAACTCGTTTTAACAACTGTAATTTTTACTACTCATGTTATCTGTGGTTCTGGTTTTTCAGTTTTGACTTACAAGTGCTTTCTGGTAAAACACACAAGAAATGAAGATTAGAACAGATATTATAATTTGAAGCTAGCATGCTTTCAACAGTTAAGTCTACATATCTTTCAACAGATATATAATCAGCAGAAAACGTTTTACTATACCTTTCTTTATATGATATAAAATTTGATATTTAGATATAAAAAGAAAAATGCATAAATCAAGACAACTCTTATCCTTAGCACAGTAGCAAAAAATACGTATACAAAAAATGCTTGTAAATACCTTAAAATAGACAGGAGCCATGTCACCCACTTCCTTTGGAAGAGGAATACACTCATAAACCATGTGATAATGTTTCTTCATGCTCATATTAGTTTCTAAAAAGACACAGTCCAATCCTTTATCTTCAAACATCTTTACTAATGATTTCCGAAACATCTAAGGAAAGTAGAAAAAATGGACACATACAAGTGTTTCTCTTCTATGTGTGTGAAAGACTTTGAAAATAATTTAACAATCTGAGATATCTCTATTGTTGTTTTCCATATTTCTAAATTATTATTTATTCACCTAACTTCTCATTCCTCATTCAATAAGTGTGTCTGAATTAAAATTCCTTTCAATGCATTTAGGCAAGGTACACTGCAGAACACTGAGTTTCACAATTTGTAACACATTATTTTTAAAAAAATCAAGTAAACATGAATGATTTTGAAATTAAAATTATTTTCCTTAAACTATTAAAGCTATATAGGGCTACTATACAATATCAATGCTATAATTTCTTTAGTTTTAAAATACATGTCCAAATAAAAGTTATCTAAAAATAACAGAAGAAACACATTTCCATTGTCTCTAGGGAATAATCCTCAAAAATGACATCAAATCAACTGTATTTAAATGTATAAATGTACTTGAAGAAAGAGAACTGGAGAAGACAGAATGAAAAGCAGATTACAATATCTGACTCAAATACTAGAAGGCTGGTTCATAGACTAACAAGGAGAAAGGAAGAAATCCATGTTACCAACAGTACTCTCAAAAGCCTAGGAATTTACCTCATGGAAACAGAGGTAAAGATGCAGCTCAAACAGATGACTTACATGTCGATCTCCTTACCAGCAGAATATTACAAGATTATCCTCTGGGAAAGGTAAAGTACACAGTAGCAGAGCTTGGAAAACCAGACACACTGGAGAGTACATACCCTTAAAATAGGGAAGTTGTAGGAAAGACTACTAAATGTTCTTAAGCACTCAATACTCGGTCACCCCCATCTTTCTTTGTTTCTCAGCATCCAAAACCGTGGCATGCAGAATTAGATGGGACAGATAGAGGAGATGCAAAAGGTCTTTTCTAGAGCATCAGAACCCCAAAGGAAACAACATCAGCAGTTTCTAAGTGAAATGGCCTCATTGCATCCCTCCACAATTGAAGCACACTGTATGTAAGCATCAACAATTCTCCTCTTCCACCTGACAAACATGGAATATTCTTTTTAAATGAGATAGCCTAGCATATATTTGGCATATTTTTCAACGTGATAAGAAAAAATTTAAAGAAGACCAAGTATCACTATATGTAACAATTTGAATCTTTTTTTGAAAATTATTTTTAAATGTATTGTCCTAAAATTTATCTTTGTATTTTCTATTACTGAGAAGATCTAAAGTTAAATTTAAGGAAAGTAGAAAAAATGGACACATACATGTTATATATAATCATACATAATTTTTTTAAAAAACTCTTGAAAAACCAGTTTCTGCCTCACAAACAATATTTTGTGCTGAGTCAAATCAATTTTTAAAATGGAACAACAAAGGAAGTGAATAATCTTAAGGATATTCACCAAAGTATAATTAACATCCTTGAAGGTAAAAGCAAAAACCAAAAAACAAAATGAATTTTTAAAAATACACAGTATTAGGATTCAAATATTTTATTCATTACCCCACAATAGTATAATTTCTAATATTATTTTTCCTTTCTCACACAAAGAGAGTTATAATTCTATTATTTGTATGAAACATTTTGCTTTTCCTCCTTTCCTCAACTTTCCATAATGCATCCATCTGACCTACAAAAAATATGCATTATTCCTTTGGACAGAATTAATGTATGATTTTACTTCTGCATTTCTCCCCAAACTTAAAATAACATATGCATGTATTCAGTATCTGTTGAACTGAATTTCTGCCTGTTTCCCCACCTCAATTCTTTCCCATCAGGTGGTTTAATTTCCTACAGAAATATAAAACATACCACTGGATTTCTGTCATTTGTAAGGGCTTTTGGCATTGTTACTTATTCTAACTTAAATCTGTTTGTATGTTTACAGTCTTAAAACACAGCCCAGAAAGCCTAAAGTAATTCTAAAACTCAACTCCACATTTTTCATGTTAAATCATGAACTGGTATTTCGACCAATGTGGGGAAAAACACCTTCACACCAAAAATAATAATCATGTGCTTACTCTTCCAGTGGCCTTGGATGCAAGCCGCCCATTTAACTTTCATATTATAAATTTTAAAAGTCCAGGAAGAGACTAAACCATGAAATGAACCAAAATAACGCCTCTTTTGGCATTTTATATCAGCATGCTACAAAGAAAAACATATCTTGCCTCTTTTGAAGTCATGATTTTCAGATTTTTAAACTACGGCTCTCTGTAACTTCTACTCAGTTGCCAGGTGTTTAAAAGAAAAACAAAACCAACCTACTTCCCTCCCATTATCATTATGAAATTTTATTCATGTTACTATGCCTTTCAATGTCTTTGAAAAGTATCAGACACCAAAACAAATCTCTAAAGCCAAAATCTGGGTCAGATTGTTAAAGGAAAAGAGAAGAAATTAAAACTAGACAAAAATGGCAAAGTCACTGCAGCACAGAAGCCCAATTCCATTGCAGGAATGTATGACATTGACTGACTCCCCAACCTTCTTTTTATTATCTGTAAATGTCTTTCTTTTTGGATGGAAATTTTCTAGCTTCCTGTGCCAATAATGGTATTTCATGCTACACAAAGCATAGATGAGAAATCTAGATTGATTTTTAGGTCAAAATAATTGTTAAGTTTGTCATCAATTATTTAGTAAACAAAATTTTCAAAACACTGAGTATAGAATGGAAACACAGTGGTATCTCAGTTCACAAATGCTTTGTTTGTGAACAATCTGGTTTGAAAATCAAAGTGCATGGGAAAATTTTGGTTTTGTTTGTGAACTCCGCATCAGGTAATGAACACAATCATAGCCATCTTTCCTGCATGAACATGAGTATGGCTACCTTTTCCAGAGTCACAGAACAATTTAAGCTTGTGAACTGAAGTACCACTGTAAAACTGAAAGATTGTGGGTGATAGAAACATGATCTACATGTATACACAACTATCAAAATACAAGCACCCAAATTCAGAAGTAAAATCACTGAATGAAATAGAAAACCCATTACATTATATGTATTGCAACATTTTGGAAAAATTGTGCATGAGCTTTACACTGACAGTGAATATTATCATGCTGACCTGAATTTCTTCCCATATGTCTTCATCCAGTAAGGTAGCAGCTCGATGATGTTGCAAAGGGACTATCAGGCAGTGTCCCTCAGTAAGAGATCGGAAGTTAGGTAAACACAAATAAACCTACAGGAAAAAATTCCAAAGGTGAAAAGCCATTGTCATTTACTCTTAGTTGGAATAGGACAGCCTCTACTGGGGAAAACCTAGTAGTATTTAATGAAGTATACTTGCTTATAAGAAACACTGTTAATATTTTTAAACCCAAGATGATAGCTTTTAATAAACTGGAAATTTAGAGCAACAGTCTCAATTTTCACTGTTATACACCATACAAAATAAAAATTTCCTAAGAACGCAAAAATGATTATATTTCATTCTTGATCTGAGGGAGCTATACAGGTTGAAAGCCCTTGAAACAACATAATTTATGGGAAATAAAAAGTTACTGTGCCTGGGATTCCTAAGAGTAGTCCAATGGATGCCTATTGGTCAGTTCTGTCTTAAGACACTTTATGGTTGCTGAGACATAATACCCCCAAATTAAAGGAGAAAAGATTCATTTTGCTTCAAAGTTTCAGAGAATTCAAACCATAGTTGGTGGGATCCACGGCAGAAACAACACAGTAAAAGATCATGGCAGAGAAAAACAGCTCATTTGGTGGAAGCCAGGAAGAAGGAAAAGGGAGGATCTGGAAACAAGGATATACCCTTGCAAGTTACACATATCTCCAGGGACCCATGTCTTTAACCAGCTGCCACCTCAAACATAAAACTTTTGAGGGACTTTTTTAAAAGATAGAAACCATGATATTCCAGGCAATGCATGGAAGTGCGGTAGTGAATATCGGGTCCTGACCTAGATCCTGATCTCCCAAATGTGTGTGTGGAGGTTAAATAAAAAAGAGACAAATTGTATGATTTTTTAGGGCTTCAGGAGGGTCAAAATCCTTTAATTGAGCTGGAAGGCTAGGACAAAGACTTCTCTGGATCAGCTGACTTTATTAGGATCAAGGACAAAAGGCGGGGAAACTGAGGAAAGCACAGGCAATGAGCAGGACCTTGGGAGTCACTTCAAGGACGTCTCCAAGTAAAAAATCAAAGTCAATTCAGTAGCACTGTCTTATCATGAAGACATGATAGAAGTGAAACTGTAGAAGTAATTTCTGCAGCTGCAGTCTCTACCTTGTTAATTGGGGTTGGAGTCAACTGTCCGCAGCTGTGGCCTTATCTTGCCCTCTGAGATATCTCTGGCCCCACACGCCACTACAGGCCTCAGCCAAGACCAGTGATTCATAGAGATTCACTTACTACGAATCAGCTCCGTTCACCAGGTAAGGGGCCGAGGCCTAGGACAGACTCACAGTTAAACATAGTAAGCCAATTGGTAAAATGTAAATCCTGCTCAGAGTTGCTTCCTAGTGGTCCCCAACAAATGAAACCAAAAGTGTAGCTGCATTGCCCTCCCATGGGCTTCTGATAATGATTGTAACCCTGTCACACATTTTTGCCTTGCATCTCAGATCTTCTAAAATATAACTCCATAATTCTTGTATTCTGCATATCTGAAGAGACAGCACCACGTGGACGATGTAAAGGTTGGAAACCAACTGAGCAGCAGCTAGATCCTTGGACCATAGCTGTACCAGCCTCTGAATGCCTGAATGGCTAAACTCAAGAGATACACTTCCCTAAGTGGCCCTAACTTAATAGGCTTTCTTTTCAAGTGAACAAGTTACCTTTTTCTGTTCTTTAGCATGTGATGGGTGCTGCTGACTTCTGCAATATAAATAAGCTTGCTGTCAGAGTGTAACATACATGGCCTCTAATAAAGTTGCTAACAAAGCCCTCATTTGCAACCAAAATTTTTTGAGCCTGGCCGTTGCTGTTACATTCTTATCATCATTCTGGCTTTCTGAGCACCAACCAAAATCATTTCAAACTCAGTTGACAGGATTCTAGGGCTTCTCTAGCCTACATCTCCAAATTTTTCTGCTTTGGTATCAAATTTTTCTAAACTCTTCCCTCAAATCAATTCCAAAGGCTGCCGAACCATGTGGTCAGGTAATATCCCAACAACACTCCTGCTAACAACTTTTCTGTATTAGTCACTTTCCCCATCACTGACTGACAATCCTGATAACCGTAACTTAAAAAGAGGAAGTTTATTTTTAAGATTCAGTCCATAATCAATCAGGTTTCAAGGCAGAAATGGCAGGTAAAAGCATGGCAGTATGAAGCAACTCCAACAATGACAGCCAAGAAGCAGAAAGAGAAGGGAGTATCCAGAGACAATAATATACCTTTCTACATTACGTACCTCAGTGACCCCTGCTCCTACCAACCAGGCCACATCTCCCAATGTGAGACTTTGGGGGACATTTTAGATCTAACCATAACACTTTCCTTCCCTCATTAGCTGAAACATCAATCTAGCTAAGAAGAAAAAGGAAATAACCTCAGCATACCTTTACCACTGATTAAACTGAGTTTATTTACATACATGTATTACCTAAAATCTGGTGCTACTGTTTTATTTTAAGAAGGTCAATCAAAATATATATAGTGATGGGGTTGGGGATTTAGCTCAGCGGCATAAAATGAGTTCAATCCCCGGTACTGATAAAAAGGAAAAAGACAAAGAAAAAAAAAAAAGAATATATATAGTGAACAAAAGGTTTCCTTGGAAAGCATAAACAAATACCTTGCAAAAGGCTTAATCTTGTAAGTTTTTACTAGGATATGCACTTATTTAATAAATCAAAATTTTAAAATATTGCTGAGAAAGAAAAAAGTAGGAAACAACATTTACTTAGAGGATGGTGGGAAAGAAGGAAGGAATGAAAATAAGAGTGCTCAAGACAAGGGAATGTCTGCAGGCCACTTAAAAACTGAAATATGGAACAGCAGAAAATGAAATACTGAGGAAAATAACTAAATTTATAGTACAACTACTGAGATAATGCTAGGAAATCAACAATTAGCGAAGAGATACAAATTCCTGCTCATAAAGAATCTGTGGAATGCTCTAAACTGAATGTCTGCATCCTCCCAAAATTTGTATGTTAAAGCTAATGCCATATGACTCTAGCAGGCAGTCTCTGAAGTTATTCAATGGTGGATTGCTTTGAAATACTGTTTGCTTTCTCAGTTTAAAGTCAAAGTAATTTGTTAGAAACTCACAATCATGTATGATTTATTCAACAAATCTCTGAATAGAAGGATTTTTTATTCAGATTAAGAAAATGATTCATTAACTACAATGTATGAGAAACAACCACACATCATAGGAAACCAATAAAATTTGTTCTAATCAATATTTAAAACATTTCTTTTATCACAACTGGTAGTACATATTAATTGTACAAATTAATGAGTTTCATTGTGACATTTCTACACACGTATATAAGGTACTTTATTGTATCCACTCTTACAACCCATCCCTTCTCCTTACAGATTGGTCCCTTCTTAATTTCATGTCAACTTTTGTCTTTTACTATAGCACATAGTCTGTATATTTTGAAACAGTCACAGATGAAAAACTAAATGTAATGGTAATTTTCAGGACATAGACAGCAGAATAAAGCATAGATAGAAAAGGTAGAAATTCAGAGCACACAGAACGGGAAGAACCAGGATGGAAGCTAAGTCTCCAAGAGTGAGCCAGCGGAAGCACAGACTGGGGAGAACCAGGAGGACCACTAAGTCCCTGTCTGTGATGCAGCCTAAAGCCCATAGTCTGAGCAACTAGTTAGAAGACAACAATATGCAATATAGTAACTATTGTAGATTTCCTACTGTCTTATTACTGTTTTGTTTCATTTTATTGTTTTATTCCCTTTAAAATAAAAATAAATACATAAATTTTTAAAAAAAGAAAAGACAGAAATTCAAATGGCTTCAAAGCCTTCTGAATGAAAAGCACAGTCTGAGAGAGGAGAAACTGATTAGATAACCATCAGTAAACTGAAAGAAAATAGAAAAATATAATACCATCAGAAATACTAAATGGAAAATATGGATTATCTCATAGCAGAAAAGGAAAAGTGAGAAGGGAGAAGGGATGTACGAGACAGTAGTAAGAGTTGAAGAAACAGAACAGTCTGTTTGATAGGAAGTAGCTTCCATCGGTCAGTGAAATAACAAATGAATACTTTAGACACAACTGTTTTGCTCTAGAGGCGTTCATTTTATCCCTACTAAAACTCATGCTGAAATTTCATTCACTTTATTAGATGTCAGAGCCAAAGAGGCAATCAGGCCATGAGTACGCTGCCCTCATAAGAATGGGTATATTGAACTCAAAGAATGAGATGCTATAAAGCAAATTTAGCTGCCCTTACACTCTCAGTTCTCTTTATATTTTTCTACAATGCTTGAGACAGCACAAGGTTTCACCAGAAACCAACCAGATAGTAGTGTTGGCTTGCCTGAATCTAAAACTGTGAGTTAAATACACCTCTTTTTTGTAACAAACATTTTTCTTATAGCAAGAAAAATGAACCAAGACAAAACCTATATGGCAAGAGACAAACAGTTTGTACACTTACTCTCTGTGCCTCTCTCTGCACACACACCTGACTCCAGTAAACTACAGACAACAGAATCACTGAAAAAAATTCTCAGATTTCTGTTAAAGCACCATAGAAAAACTTTAAATGTTATTTGACACATATTGTATTCCTATATTTTTAAAAGTATGGATGACACTAAAGGGAAATAAAGTATTTAAAAGGTCATCATTATAGAACTTTAAATATTTCTGTGAAACCCGAGAAAGAAACTTAGAAAATACCTATAAGTAAGTAGGTAAGGTCTTTCTTTATACACACACACACACACACACACACACACACACACACACTCCCCAAACTATTAGTTCCTAAAACTAACATTACTCATTCAATACTTCTACTCTCATTTTTTCGTACTCCGCTCCAGCTTTCTTGTTCCATCAACACCAACTTCATCTCCTCTCACAGCCTTCTACTCACTGACGCCCCTTCCCGAACACTCGGTTCCTACTACCTTCACCCTATTGGCTCCTTCCCATCTTACACAACTTACTAATATCTCAGAGAACCTTACTAGACCATCTTTTCAAAAATAGTATTTCCTCATCATTTTACCCCATTTCCTTACGTTACTTGCTTTATGACAATATCCTTAAATCAGAACAAGTATTAATTTTTTTCTTATGTTCAGCCCTATTTCAATACATTAGAAGCTTCAAGTCTCCCTTGCTGTTTTTCCCATGACATAATTAGACTTTAAAAAGCATCAGACACAAAAACATTATTAATATACAAATAAATTAAATATTTATAGAAATAATTGTTATTATGTACTATGAACAGAACTAAGCAAGTGATATTTAATGGTGAGCACAAGTTATCTCCATTTCATAAAGCTTAAAGTCTATTGGTAGAGGGATCCAACAATCAAGTAAATCAAAGAAAATATAATAAACTCTAAATTGTGAGAGTCTACAAAGAAATAGATTCTATGAGAAACTATGCAAAGAAGCACAAGTTATTTAAGACTCAGTCCTTCCGAGGTGATTTTAATGCTAAGAGTCAAGTGCTATCACACGATGGCAAGGCTGGTAATAAGTGGCGGAAGCAGGATGTGAATCCACAAAATGTGGCTCCACATTTTAATTGTTAATCACTACTCAGCTGCACTTATTAAGAATAGAATCACACACAGAATGAACCATTTGTCACTTAAAATTTTATGCTTCCTTCATGGACAATTCTAACAATTTTGAGAATTTAGGAAAATACTTGAAACAGAAAAGAAAGCTATTCTTTGGGGATCTTATAAAATTATGAAGAAAGTAGCAAATCTATATATACTAATCAATCTTTTCCTCAGGTCAACAAATTTTATATTTCTTACCTTAACACCTATTGCCACAATAAGGTGCTTGGGAAACTGAGAGCTGTCAAAACAATACAGACACTTTTCCATTTGTGCAGCCAGGCGCTGGTGCTCAGCAACAGCCTTCTTCCTCAGGTTCTGTTCCTCCTCACCAAAACATTCTCCCTCAGCTGCTTTGGAGACAAACATGTCATCCAGCGTGTAATAGTCTCCATCTGCTTTTCCCATAAACTGAAACATCAAAATAATATTGTAGGGATGCAGTGGTTAAGAGTTTGCTGTGCAATAGCAGTCTAAAGTCGCATCTGTAAGTTCTATGATAAAACTCATACACAAAAAATAAATTTAAAAAATCATGATTATGTTTAGGTTTGATCTCCCATAGTCAATCAATCCATCAGCACAATCACCATTAATACCATCATAACTAAAGTTTACTAAACATTTACTATATGCTACTCTGTGAAATCTGAGTGTTTCACACTCCTAAGAAGCAGAGATCATTATAATTTCCACGAGACAAGTAAACTGAAACATAAATAACTACTTTTTAAATTAGCATATACACAATAAAGACATAAAATATTATTCTACTTCATCTCCTCCACCATAATCTATGAACAGACTGATGCTCTAAAACATTAAACACAAATTTTATTTGTGTCTTGGCTTAAAATAAAAAGCTGCATACTCTGTACAGTCAAATTTAAATACTGGTATTGCCTCTGAAATCACAAACACAAAAAGGCATAATGATAAAAAACTTTGAGTTCAAAATAATAACAGTAAAATTCTATCTCCTGTCTGGTTATCTTTAGCTCTTTATTCTCTCTGCAGTCTCTCTATCCCTTATTTCCTCATTTTACAATGATTATAACAATATTATCCATCTACTGGGGATAGTCTCACAATCCTTGTCCAGCATATAGTAAGGACTTATAAATGTGAGCTACCATTATTACTACAACTCTCTTCATGATTTGGCACTGATGGTCTCCAGACACATCTGTCTATACCCTTACTCAAACCATGTCTATGAAAGTCTACACAAATAGGAATGGCTATCATAAGAATCAAAAGGACCAAGGGATGTTCAAAGCTGGCAATTTCAATTTTCCTTAGCTTATTCTAACTAAACCTTTAAGAAAGATATATTACTTAATCTCACAAGATTTGCTGTTACTACTTTATTTAAAATGAAAAAGTAAAAGATTTAAGGTCTAGTATGTATTATGGAAATCTTAAAGTCATAATTTAAAGATTATTTACATCATGAAATGCATTAAGTCTTAAAAATGTATTAAGCCTCTAATCTCAGAGTGTGTCCTCTGCTAGGTGCACAGAGGATCTGAGTTCTGTCGAGCCCAGTGTTTCAGTGCAGTCCACCAGAGGAACGCCAGGCCAGCCTCACTGGTCACAGAGAGACCAAGCCCTGCCCAGCTCAGAGCTCTAGAGCCATCCATCGGGCTGCAACCAGCCTAGTGGAGGGGTCCTGGAGATTTCAAGCTCCAAAAATCACAGCACAAGGCCCTAGCACTATAGTTCGTGTGTACATTCCAGCTTGCCCTGTAGAGCACAGAGATTCTGATCTCAGTCCAGCTAGAAGCAAGGCTCTGTACTATACTCCAGAGGTGTGCTCCGGTTAGCCATATGGTCCAGAGGTTGTGAACACTCATCCAGGAGCAAAGCTCCAGTGCCATAGTTCAGGGGTGCATCCAGGCTAGCCCCTGGGTCCCAGACATTCTGAACTCCACTCAGCAAGGTGCAAAGCCCCAGAGCCACACTCTGGTGATGCATCCTACTTCGCTGCATGGGTCCCAGAGACTCTGAACTCCAGTCAGCCACACATAAGGCCCCAGGATCATACTCTGGGCTGCATCCCAGCTAGCTGCACAGATGATATGAGCTCTTCCCAAAACACAGTCCCAGCACAATCCATCAGGAGAATGCTCAGTCAGTCTCACAGGTACCAAGCCCTGTCCAACACAGAACCCTGGAGCCATCCAAAAGGGAGTGACCAGCTTAGCTGACAGGTCCTAAAGATTTCGAGCTCTGCCCATCGCAGTGCAATGCTCTGGCACCATAGTTCAAGGGTGCACTCCAGCTAGCCATGTGGATATCATAAGATAGAACTGCTGGCAAGTCCAGTATTGTAGTGCAACCTATCAGGTGGGTGCCTGACCAGCCACACAAGTCCCAGAAGAAAATGACAAAATGAAAAACCAAGACACAGTCTCAGTCTTCCAGCCCATACTGGAACAAACCCAGGAGGCACTGAAATGGAAATCACACAACTGAACTTTGTGTGAAAGATAGAAACTGAAGTAAAGAAACCGAAGTAGCAACTGAAGTAAACAAACAACTCCATGAAGCTATAGAGGACCATCAGATCAGAAATAATCTTCCAAGTAAAAAAGAAATGCCAAACATTATGGGAGAAACGTTGAATGTATCTAAAGAAGATCTAGAAAAAAACAGTGGAGCATAAGGAAATGATAGAAACCTTGAATGAACAATAAACACCAGAATTAGAATGCATCAAACAGATTCAAATGGATATTCAGGAAATTAAAAATTCCATTGAAAGCTGGCAAACCACTTGAATGAGGCTAAAGATAGACTCTAAGACCTTGAAGACAAGATGGCAGCTTATGATCAAGAAAGAAAAGATCTCTTAAAAATAATAAGGAACCAATTAAACAGCTGCAAGATGATGCAAAAAGAAACATTGTAAGATAGATGTCAACAGAAAAAGCAAGGTCAAAACACATGATGTAAAAGGACTATGTACAGAAATAATAGAATATTTTCTAAGCACAGAAAAAGAATCTGATATGCAGGTAAGTGAGAAGCATAGAACTCCAATTAGCCATAACCAAAAAAGAAAAAAAAAAAAAAACTTCACATATAATTAGGACACCAGAAATTCAACACAAGAATAGAATACTAAATCCAACAGAGAAAAGAAATAGATCACATATGAAGGAAAACCTATCAAAATCAGGGCTACCTTCTCAACACAAACCATCATGTCAAGAAAAGCTTGAAGTGAAGTATTTCAAGTCCTGAAATAATGTAACTTCCAACAAAGATTGATGTATCCTGCTAAACTATCTTTGAAAACTGATGAGATACTTCCATGACAAAAAACAACTGAAGAAATTCATAACCACCAAACCAACACTACAAAGAGTACTCAGAGGTACTCTAGAAGGAGATAAAGATAACTACAATTCCAAGAAAAACAGCAGAAGGAAACCACTAAGAAAAAAAAAAAATTAAATGGAGAGAAAAATTAGAAAACCAACAACAGAGGGACAACATATCAGTTATATCCATCAATGTAAATGACCTCAACTCACCAATAAAAAGAAACAGACTGACAGAGTGGATTAAGAAATAAAATCCAACAATATGCTGTGTATAAGAAACACATTTAGCTGAGAAGGAAATTCACAAACTAAATGTCAAAGGATGGAAAACAGTACTCCATGTAACAGGGATCCAGAAAAAAGCAGAGAAACCTATTCTGTTTGCAGACAATGTGATCTTCAAACCATGAATGATCAAAGGAGATAAAGAAGGTAACTGCATACTTTTTGGGGGAAAAACCACGAAAGAAAGAGATTATAATCATAAATATATATGAACCAAATATGGGAGTACCCAGCTATATAAGACATATTAACAGACATGAAAAATCAAATAAGCAATAATACAGTTATAATGGGGGACCTTAGCACTCCATTGTCAGAAAGAGACATATCAACCAAACAAAAAGTCAGCAAAGAAATAACAGACGTGAATCAAAATTGTAAAAAAAATGGATCTAGTAGATGTGTACAGTGTGTGTCACCCAATGACATCAGCATATACATTTTTCTCAGCTGCATATGGGTTGTTCTCTAAAGCAGACCTATACTAGCCCACAGAACATGCTTAAATGTATGTAAAAGAACTGAAATAATCCCATGCATATTATCCAACCATAGAGTAATAAGGACAAAAAATCCACAAGAACCTCACAAACACATGAAAGTTAAATAGCATTCTCCTAAACAACCAATGGATCACAGAAGAAATTAAACAATATCTACAACTGAAGGAAAATGCAAATACAACTTAGTGGTTCCTGTGGGACACAATGAAAACAGTCAACAGAGGAAAATCCATAGTGGTGAACTCTCACCTCAGGAAAATGGAACAAACACAAATAACCTAATGCTACACCTCAAACTTCTAGAAAAAGAAGAGAAAGTCAAGCCCAAAGCTCAAAGAAGGGAGAAAATTGTAAAGATCAGAGGAGAAATCAATGCAATTGAAAGTAAAAAAATAAATAAATAAATAAATAAATAAACAAAGAATTAATAAAGAGTTGATTCTTCTTTTTTTTTTTTGTCTTTTTCCTTTTTATCAGTACTGGGGATCGAACTCACGACTGCTGCTTGCAAGGCAGGCGGTTATGCCGCTGAACTAAACCTCCAGCCCCAAGAGTTGATTCTTTGAAAGAATAAATTTGATAAACTCTTAGTCAACCTTATCAAAAAAGGAAAGAAAAAAATTCCAATTCATGCAATAAGGAATGAAAAGAGTGAAATCACTACAGACCCTGTGGAAATAAAAAAATCACCAATACCTACTTCAAAAACCTAGGTTCAATAACACAGAAGAAATGGATAATTCCTAGAAACATATGAATTACCAAAGCTGGGTCAAGATGTACAAATGCTGAATAACCTAATTTCAGTTAATGACACCTAAAATGCAATTAGAACCTTATCACAAAGAAAAGTCCAAGTCCTGATGGATTTACTGCTGAATTCTACAAGAAATTTACAGAATACACGCCAATATTCGACAAACTCTTCAATGAAGTTAAAAAGGAAGCAGTTCTCCCAAACTCATTCCTGGAAGTATTATCTTAATAACAAAACCAGAGAAACATGCAACCAAAAAAGAAAACTATACACCAATCTCCCTAATGAACGTGCATCAAAAAACCTCAATAAAATACTGGCAAACAGAATGTAGCAAATTATCAGGATAATTATACATCATGACCACGTAGGATTCATCCCAGAAATATAGGAATGGTTCAACATACACAAATCAATAAATGTAATACAGCATATCAACAGAGCTGAAGACAAGAATCACATGATTATCTCAATAGATAAAGATTTTGACAAAGTCCAACACTCACTCATGATAAAAAAATTAAAACCCTATGG